GTAGCTTTGCTTGTTGGTTCTGAGGCGGGAGTCAAACTTGCTAGATTCCACGAATAATTCAAATCTAAAACCTCTGCTATACGATGTTCAGTGATGTCCCATCCAAAAAGGATGGTGGGATCTTCTCGTATTTATTAGAATTTATTTATTATAATAGGTCTGATAGAATATGGTTCCTCTATCTTTGAAGAGGTAGGACTTTTCTCAATCATGCTATATCCGAGACGGAGTACCGCCCCCCCACCGACAAAAGGAAGTATGGAGTTGAGAACCTGTCAATAGCAAAAGCATCAGCTAGGGGATGGAGGTTACTCTTTCGCAATTCAGAAAGCTGTTCGTTGCCGCCCCTTCCTAATCAAATCAACATTTTCATAGAAAGAGTGAATACCATACTAATTCATAGATAACAGAACACTGAAGAAAAGAATCTATCACCTACTCCAAATCGGGCTGGTATGTATTCTAAGTTGAGAAAATGCTTCAACATCAAAGAGATTAAGAAGCATTTCCGTAAGGTTGAGGTCTTGAAGAGCCTCCGTGAAGGCAACAAGTGCGCTGACAAGCTTGCTAATATGGCCTTTGATGCACCAGCTGGATTAACTATCCTTGTTCAAGAGCCCCCTGTTTTATCTGCTCTTCTAGTAGCTGATAGGACAAATTAGGGTGACTTAATAAAGCTAACAGTACGTAGGTCGGATAATGCCCCCTTAGCCAACATCTCCGAAGACTGGCGCTCAATCTCATCCTTTTGCAAATGAGGATAGCAATATGGACGCACCAAAACCGGACCAGTACCAGGTTCCAAAGTGATGCCTGCCATGAATAGGATTTGTTAAGATACGGATTTGTTAAGCTAGGATAAAAACAAGATATGGACAGAGCACGACAGCGAACCGATACGTCAAGAGCAGATACGTCCATGGGTACTCGGAGGATTCTCTAGGGCTATACCTGAATTTGATCAATTCTAATCTTTCCTTTATGACTGAACAAGCAAGGGATTGAGCAAGACGCGCGAAAGCCGTTGCGCGTTAGCGCATCCGTTTTCTTGCTGGTCGCCAAGCATAATAGAATAAAGGAGTGGGTTTGGGAGTCGCTATTCGAGAAGGATCGG